CTTCTCTCTCTCTTCTCTCTCTCTCTCTCTCTCTCTCTCTCTCTCTCTCTCTTTGAACTCCGTAACTCAAGCCCACAACAAAAAAAATGACACCCCATTCCAACTCTAACCACCCTATGTACAATCACCATCCAATCCCTTGTTTCTCTTTCTAGAAACACCTTGGTTCTCTGTATCTAAGACCCCATCTTTCTCTCTCTAAAAAGCCACTTCTAGAAAGAATTCATCTCCAAAATGTGAGTCTTCCTCTTAACCAAAAGTTTAGCCACCTCCCGAAAAGCTCCATCAAAAGCCATGGACACAAATTGATCAGCCTCCTCTTTCCCCAAAAGGTCAATCACTCAACCTTATAAAAACCAGAGTTGCTCCTTTAAAACCCATACCATTAGGAAGCTCGATATACGGAGCATACCGGAGCTTCATGCTCAAAGCTGGGACTTGGGTTCTATTAGCACTTGCAGAGGCTGAAATGGGTTTAACCCTAATTTCACTCAATTGCCCTGAATTTATAGAAAGAACCCCTTGATTATCACAATAAGTTATTGTCAGTCTCTCTAAGCCTGGGTGCTCTGAAATTATTTGTCGCATAACAAAATGCCTAGCTGAAGCAGCAATTAAAGAGCTAATGGTCCAAACCACCCTAAGTTTACGCAGCTCTCCAAACTGGTCCCAAATTCACAGCTAATGGTTCGAGGACACTGGAAGGCCCAAAATTACGCAGCTCTCCAGACTGGTCCCAAATTCAGCCCTCCATTTGAGGAGAACCCCATCTCCAAACCTTAGCTCACCATTAGGGAGTTCGATTTTCAAGGTCCTGATGCTTGAGAAGCTCTTCAAAACCTCAACTGGAGTGGGTGACTTCTGAAACCCCTAATCTTTTGGGTCATTACAAGCTTATGAATGGCTTCGAGGGACTTACCAAAAGAGCTATCACCAGTTTGAGGAGATGAGAGAGAAAGCCTCAGGTTCTAGGGTTTATTGGATCTTCATCAGTGATTACAAAGTCTACTTTGATCAAAATATCTTCAACCATGGGGATGAGAGAGAAAAACCTTTTGGAAATAGAGAGGCAGAGGCCTACGGATTTTATATCCTGAACCTTGATAGAGAGAAGGAGTTTTGAGACAGAGAGAGACGGTGATGTGAGAGAGAGAGGGGGAGAAGAAAAGTTTGGATAGAGTGTCATTTTAGTGTTTCCTTGGGTCAAAATTTTATAGTCAAAGGGGTCCAGGGGGTTATAAAATAGAAAAGATGGAGACCTTTTGCTTACTAGTAATATTTTCAATTCTTGGGTCTCATGAGATATGGAAGTTAAAAATAGGGGCTACGAGGACATTTTCCCTATATAAAACAGTGTCGTGACATTGTGATTGGGGCAATCTTAGCCCTCCATTCCAAATAGATGGTTGGATAAGGGGAAATATATAAGTTCTATGTTGTAAGGGAAGCATAGAAAGCTTGCTCCATAGTCATAGGGTATAGGAGGATAAAAAAAGGCAAAAAAAAAAAAGACAAAAAAGAAAAAAGAAAAAACTCATAATCATAGGTGGCAATGGATCCTACCAGACCCGAGACCGGGTAGACCCAGAACCCGACGGGTCTGGGTATGGGTGTAGGTCCGGGTCCAGCCGACCCGTTGCGACCCTTAAAAGAAAGCCTAAACCTTCAACTTTTTCCATGATAATCGTACAACATCTATCTCATCAATATGCAACTCACCCAAATCTACTAATATCTATAATACATGATCATTACTATATTTAAAAACTCAAAATCTGATGATGGTTAAGCAGAACCCCAGATTCAAGAGGCATTCAATCTTTCACCAAGAGCAATCTCTACACGCTATTCAAAAATCTCTCTCTCTAAACTGTGATGATCCAACTCCCATTAATGGTTGTATTTAGATATACAATCATCGACATGTCCAATGACCCCTCGCGTCCCCCTCTTCAAACCATGCATTAGACATCTCCACCAAACTCTCTCTCTCTGTGCTCTTCCTCTCCCCTTTCTCTCGCAGCTCACCAGCCACCCATTCTCTCATTACTATCACTTGTCTCAGCCAACTCCAAAATCACGGCTTTTGGGCGAGCGGGAAAACCAAAAGAAGCTTGCCTTTTATTCAACAAAATGTCTCAGAGAGACTCAGTAACTTGGAATTCCATGATCACCTGCTACTGTCAAAATGGGATTATGGACCAGGCCGGCCTCCTCTTCGATGCCATGACCAAAAGAAACGTGGTATCATGGAGTACCATGATGACTAGATATTCTCATAATCAAATGTTGGAGGAAGCTCGTCGTTTGTTCGATAGAATGCCTAATACAAACTTGGTTTCTTGAAAAGCCATAGTTAATACTTACTGTAACTTGGGTTTGCCAGGAATGGTTTGATTTGATGCCAAAAAGGAATTGGGTTTCTTGGGTTGTGTTGATTTCTGGATATTTACAGGTCGATGAATTTGCAAGGGCTTTGTTGGTCTTCTTACAAATGAGAAGAGCTGGGATTTTGGTGAGCCAGTCTGGGATTGCCATGCCTATAATAGCTAGTTTTGGTTTGGACAACATGTACCTGGTTCAAAATTTGCAGAAAATGGAAGGCTAGATGAGGCTTGTAAAATTTATGAAAATGCACCTGAACAGACCCTTTCAACACATATAGCAATGATCACTGAATTTGCTCAAAATGGAAGAATTCTTGAAGCTAGAGAAGTCTTTAATGGTATTCAAAACCAGATGTGGTTTCATGGATTGCAATGCTTGCTGGTTATGCTCAAAATAGTATGCTTGAAGAAGCTAGAGCATTGTTTGATATGATGCCAGACAAAAACAGTGTTACTTGGGCTGCCATGGTTTCTGGTTATGCCCAACATGAGAAATGGGAACAAGCTTTAATAGTGTTCTCTGAGCTTCACAAAGAACGCATAGTGCCCAGGTATTGGACTTATACCACTGTCATTAATGCTTGTGCTAATAGTGGAAGATTAGAATTGGGGAAGCAAATACATTCCCTCTCTATCAAAACTGGATGTCAATTTAATCCCTTTGTCTCTAATGGCCTAATCACCATGTATGCAAAGTGCAAACACATAGAAGATGCTTCATGGCAATTTGGCTCAATTACGGTCAAAGATAAAATTCAATGGAGCTCTTTGGTTTCGAAGTTCTCTCAGAACCAGGCTCCTGAAGAAGCCTGCCACGTCTTTGACACGATGGGGAATCATGATATCATCTCATGGACGTCCATGATCTCTGTAGACGTTCAAGCTGGTCATGCATGTGAAGTCAATGAATTGTTTACCACCATGTCACATGAAGGCCTCAAACCAAACCCATTTACCGTAACTAGCATTCTATGCATTTGTGCAGATTTAGTGGTAATTGAGCTTGGAAAACAAATACATGGCATGGCCATAAGGCTTTGGCTAGACAATGTTGTTTGACTTAAGTGCCATGATGTCCACGTATTTCAAATGTGATAGCACAGCCAATGCCTTTCGACTGCTTAACATGATGCATCGTCGTGATCTGATCACATGGAACATGTTCTTGGATGGATGCGCACGTTACGGACTCGGCATTGAGGCGGTTCGAGCCTATGAGGAAATGATAGCAGAGGGGGTGGCCCCTGACCAACGCACATTCATGGGGTTGCTATGTGCTTGTAGCCATGAATGTATGATTGAGGAAGGGTGCCGTTACTTTGATTCTATGAGCAAAGACCATAGACTAATGCCGCATGATGGCCATTACGCATGCATGGTTGGGCTTTTGGGGCAAGGCAATTTGGGCAGCTCTCTGAGGCTGAAAAGTTTATAAGGAACATGCTCATTGCGCCTGATTTAGAGGTCTGGGAGGCTTTGCTTGGGGTTGTAAAGCTCACCTTGATCTCCAATTGGGTAATAGAGTTGCAGAGATGTTATTTCGTTTTGAACCTGAAAGCCTGGAACCTTAAATTTTGTTATCGAATATTTACATGGATTTAGGTATGTGGACAATGGTTGAAGAGCTGAGAAAAATGATGAACGAACTGGGAGCAATGAGAAAGAGTGGTTGTTGTAGTTGGATTCATGTGAAGAACATGGTTGATTGGTTTTTTATAGGGGATGAAAGACACGAAGAGAGAGAAGAGACTTATTGGAGCCTTGGAGAATTATATGAGCATTTGAGATCTAGTGATTATATGCTCGAAACTGAGTTTGTTATGGATGTTTTGGAGGAGGAGGACTTCATCGGTGAGAGGCTTCCTTGGCTTCTGACCTCTACTGACATTGCTAGAGGGGCCATACAAAGTGGACAGAGACTGTAGTTTCTTTCGAGGTTCCTAAAGGCCACATTTGGAATGGGAAGGCTAGGATTCTTTAGAATCTGGAAGTTCTGGTTCCTTGGAAGCTAGAACCATTGATATCTAGAAGTTTTGGAATCTGGAAGTTCTAGAAAATATGGAAGCCTGTGTAACCTTCGACTCTTTAAACATTCAATGAAGGTTTCATCATTAGAGAGAGTAATGCTTGTGGTTGGAGACGCCTGAAGAAGGCCGAAGTTCATGGGGAAGACTAGGGGGAGCTCAACAAGAGAGAAGAAAGAGCAATGGCAAGGAGATAAAAGACAAAGCGACTTGGGAAAGCGAAAAAAAGGCGAAAGTAAACTTTGTAAAACAAAAAAACAAGATAAGCTGCAAGCCCTTTAATTTTAAAGGAACTCGAACTTCCTATTTTCTCATTTACTTTACCACTATTAGTACCAAATAAAAAAGCCCTATAGTAAATTGGAACTTTTAGGTCCAACTTCTAGCTTTGAGACCTAAAAATTCCGGTTATCAAATGTGCTTCTCATTAGTGGTTCTTGTTGAAAGCAGAAAGAAAAAGTGATATTCAAAACACCTTGGTGTCTAAGAAAAAAAATGTGCTTAGAAATTACAATTATATTTCTCAAAAACAAGGATCGGCAAGCAGCTTTTTGAAAGAGGAAAGTTCTCGATTTGGATCTCTAATCGGGATCGGGCGATAGTTCCCCCCTCTAAAACCTACTCTTCCAAAAAAAAAAAATTTCTTGAGCTTATCTAATGCTTTTATAGGTTCCCCTAAATCCTCATTCCATAAACCCCTATTTTTATTTTTATTTTAATTATTTATTTTAAATATTTTTTCTGATCACCGATCAAGACCGATCCACATCACCGATCCAAGAATGAGACATAGATCAATGGGGTGAACGATCCACCTTATCGATCCAGGTTTTGAAACATTGTTACAAAGCGAGTAACTCCACTTGTACACAAAAAAAAAAAAGGGTCAATAAAAAGTTAAAAAAAAATTGTAAAAGGGATGTATTAAAAAAGGAAAAGTTAAAAAAAAGTATTTGAGTGCATTAAAATGCTAAATTAGATAAAAAATAAAAACTATAAATGATTGATTATTGAAAAGCCAGATTTATTTCATAAACATTTTAAAAAGGAAAAACATATGAAAGTTCTCAAAATCATCTTAAAACCTATCAAATCATATATAAACAATGTATCAAAAAGCACTAGGGGGGTCCTAGGCAGCCTGGACCCCAGGCCGCCTAGGCGAGCGCCCAGAACCTGGGCGGCTGCCCAGTTGAAAAAAAATACTAAATTACCAAAATACAATATTCCAAGTTAAAAAAAAGAAGATAGATGTCGAGAAGAGAATTTTGATAATCCATATTGTTAAAACAGTAATGTAAAACCATACAAGTGTAGGATATAAAAGTCAACACTCAACATAACATAAATATACAAAAATTTAGAAAATATATAGTCTAACAAAAGTCAACACTCATGACTCAACACAACAATTAACACTCAACACTCAGAACCAAGAGGCAAGAGTCTTCAGTCGTCGTCACCATCATCATCATCAAAAAGAATATCAATAGGGCAAGCCTCATCATATGCATCAGAGTCGAGGCCATCATCATCAGAGTCATCTCCCTCTTCAATACAACGCTCGTCCTCCTCTGTTTCTTCTGAATCTGCCTCTTCCTCCTCTTCTTCCTCTACTTTCCTCTTACTAGTATGTGCAGTCTGTGCAGATGAGGCCATAGGAGTCTTGGCTGCTCTACTTGTTTCTTTGTGCTTCTCTGAACTCAAATATCGTATAATTTCCTCCCCAGTAGCCTTAGGAACATTTTTACACGGGGCAACATCCCCCTAAATACCGACAAGGTGTTTTTTAAACCGATAAATGGCCCCATTAGTATCCTTTCCACAATAATTACATTTAATACAATTTTTTATCACTGGGATTTGGGTTATAGCCATACTTCCAACCCGGATCACCACTCTGACTAGAACCTGAAGAAGATACTTCAATAGAACAAGGCTTATTTTTACCTTTTCTGGTTCTTTTAAATTCAGAAGATGTCTAATCTCATCCCGAACTGCTTCTAAAACCTTTGTACAAGAAACAACATTACCTCTAACACCAACAAGGTGTTTTTTGAATCGGCTAATGCCCCCATTGGTATCTTTTTCCCAAAAAGTACACCTTATACAATTTTTATCATTTGGTTTTGGGTTGTACCCATACTTCCGGATCACTTCTTCTAGAAGTAGCATAAATAGATCTATGACAAGGATTTTGTTCCTGTTTTTGTTTTCCAAAACTCATATATTGCTTAATTTCCTCCCTGATAGCTTCAAGAACATTTTTACAAGGGGACAATATCCCCTTTAATACCGGCAAGATGTTTCTTAAACCGGTTTATACCTCATTTTGTATCTTTTTCACAAAAATTGCATCTAACGCAATTTTTGTCATTTGGATTCGGGTTGTATCCATATTTGCAACCCAGATCTCCACTCCGACTAACTCCTAAAGAAGACATCTCAAAATAAAACAATCAATCTAAAAAATAAACTTTTGCACTTACTTTGATTGCTCGAACTCCAAACTTTGAGACACTTCGATCCAATGAAATGTAGTTTTCTGGAGGTTTCTTTCTCTTTAGAAGGGGTTCTTGTGGGTTTAGGTTTCAAATGAACCTAAATCCCCACCTTCTAACCTTTTATATCTTTAAAAAAAATCAAAACAAAAAACATTTCCGCCTCTGGGCGGGGCTGGGCGCTGAGCGGTCGCCTAGGCAGGCTCCGTACCGCCTAGGCGGCCGCGCAGGGACCACCGCCCAGTTTGGCCGCCTAAGCCGGGGCGATGCGCCCAGGCCTTCTGGACCGCCTAGGCGCTGGGCGGTCCGTCTTTTTGAACAATATATACAAACATATTACTAATGAGGATATTGGTGTTTTCTAACTTTTTTTTTCCAACTTTTTTCGGTAGGTTTTTTGGGTAAGGCGAGTTGGACACCCAACTCACCCGAAACTCGCCTCACCAGGCCGTGTTATTCACCTAAGTCCGTCTCGGGCAAGTCCAGTAACACTGGAGGACCCAAATACAATGAACTTATTTTATGATAAATACAGTGAAATCAAATTACCTAACAACCAATGTGCACCGACCTGATGTTTTGCATAATCCAATCTCGCAATGAAACCAACTAAACAAGGTTCATATGATAAAGTTCAAAACAATACACAAGCTCTAACTATGTTTTTAACTAGCACATCTTGAGAAAAGCTATCACAAAAACTTATGGCCAAAATTAAGGGCAAGCTTTCAATGCTTCCCCTACAACATAAAACTTATATACTTCCCCTTATCCAACCGCTAAGATTGTCCCAATCACAATGTCACGTCTGACACTATTTTATTTTTAATCTTTTTCTATAAACTATGTTGTGTCCAATCCTCTATTAAACTCGCACTATCAAAAAAATATAAAACAAATATTTCTAATAAAATAAAAATGACCAAAATACCCTTGAAAGATTCGAGGGGTATTTTGGTCATCGAAAAATTATTTTTAATAATTTTTATTAAGTGCGCTCCAATGAGAAGATGACACGTACCAAATTTTATATTCATACAATTTGCATAAAAAAAAAACTAAAAATAAAATACTTTGAGACGTCTGATATATGATCAAACGGTGAGTGGCTCTCTTGATCAGAATTGGCCGGCTGGATAGTAGGGGAAGCATAGATCTTCTATGTTGTAGGGCAAGTATAGAAACCTTTCCCCAAAATTAATCCCCAATAATTTTGAGATAGTTCTGAAACATGATATCTAATTTTTATTTTTTAAAAAATAAACCATTCTAACCAGATTTCTCTTAAAGCTACGGATGAAAGATACAACAATGAATTCAGCTATTTTCTACATAACATGGAGCAAATAAACATGAAAAATACATAGAGTTTGAGCTCAAATACCTCAAAATAAGCCTCTCCCATGAATCATAACCAGCTGCAATCAAATTCTCTGCATCAAGTTCCTCTGACTTTCATCCCTTCCTGTTAACAAGATGAATCAGAACCCAAGTTTCTTGAGTTCATTATACAGCTTTAAGCTATAAGGTAAGACAGGTGCCTCAGCTTTAACTGCCCATTCATCAAAGGAGTCTTCACTGAAATCCTTTGATCTGCAACCAAGTACGTTTCAGCAATTAGGTCAATGAAATGCATCTCTCTCTCTCTCTCTCTCTCTCTCTCTTGATGGGTTAAATGCATCTCATGATGAATTAAGAGTTGGGGATTTTTAAACCTGGCAGTTCAGGGTGGAAGTAATTTCGTACATCATCTGCATTTTAAGAAAAAAGGAAAATTGTTTCATGCAGGCTGGACCGCATTCGTACAATATGCGGTCCAAAGGTATAAAGCATCCATCTTAAAGATGGATGCAAATAGGTAGGTGATCCATCTAAAATAAAGTGTAACCAACAATCCAAATATTTTCTTAATATAATTATTATTTCTAGTTTTCAAATTCTTTGTTTTTTTTTTTTCTTTCATATTCATGATCTCCATATTAAAGATTATATATTCTTTAAAAATTAAGATCAAATTATATTTAAAAAATATGTTTATTGCCAAGCCCGGGCTGGCCGCATAGAAACCGTGTCCTTGTCCTTTTAAGAATTCAAAGAGAGAGGAAACAAAAAAAAAACGAGAAAGGAACGATGGGCAAGAAGCGGGAATCTCTCTCGATTGTGCTCATGTGTCACCTTACTAGGTCAAGCCTAGACCGAGGAGGGCTAGGCCTAAACTAGGGTTGCTCGGGCTAAGACTAGACCTGACTCAAGGCAGCTCTAGGAAAAAAATTAAAATTCAAATACTACCAGACAACCGTGATCGTCAGATCGGCTCACATTTGATCTGGGCCGTTGGGTGTTTACTGTAGCGGTACGCACATGGGTGTACATGAACTTTTTTCCATATATATATATATATATATAGATATATATTATTTTCACACCAAATTTGGGGAGTCCAATCCTCTATTAAACACGCACTTGTAAAAAATATTAAAACAAAATTCTCAATAAAATATATTCAAAGGGTATTTTGGTCATTATATTTTATCAAAAAATAATTTTTAATATTTTTTATAGGTTCGCCCCAATGAGAAGATGGCACATATCAAATTTTATATTCATTCAATTTGTATAAAAAAATTAAAAATAAAATACTCTGAGGCGAATCTAAGATCAAAAGATGAGTGGTTCACTTGATCAAATTGGACAGCTGGATGGCAAGGGAAGCATAGATCTTCTATCCTATAGGGGAAGTATATAAACCTTTCCCATGACAATGAGCTTCTTCTTCTTTTCTTTTCATTTTTTTTTTTGCCTATAATACTGTAAATGTTGTCAATATTCTGACAATATGAACACCTAGTGCGCACTTAAAGACACATGATTATCATCATATTACCCCATGACTACGGCTACGAGTCGGGTTCAATTGGACCCGGACCTAGACCCAAATAATATTCAGGTCCAAAATTTGGACCTATACCCGGATCCAAGCTCGGGTATACCCGTCAGATCCCGAGTGTGTCCATTGAACAATCAAACTAAAAGGTACTTCAAAAATTCTCTAGAAGATGTTGTTTCCATGTCAAAAAAGCCTAAAATCCAATTATCTCAACCTTGAGATATATGAATGTCAAAAAATGAGCTCAAGTCTTGAAAATATTGTATCTTGTAATACATTATCTAGACTGTCAACTTCAATATTTTTAAGTGTTCATAGATCTGATTGATCTATACTATTTTTTAAGCTTAAATTTTATAATTGAAGATAAAGATAAATTTTCAGGGTTGGACACTATTTGAAGGGGTGCCTTACTTTGATTGTTTAGAGCCTCAACCTTATATAAACTACACCCAAATCTTATTTATGTTATTTCCTCTTTTTTTCTTAATGCTTCAAAATCTTATTTATCTAAGTATATAATTTTATTTAGGGATTATCCTTCAATTTTTCTCTATATATCAACTGATTTATTGTTTCTTTTCATCCTTTCAACCATGCTTTTTTTTTCTTGTTTTTTCTTTTAACAAAGAGGGCCCCAAATCTTTGGTATTACTTTTTCTTTTCTTTTTCTTTTTTTTTGGTAATTCAGTGGGGATGACGTGCCCCTACCCGTTTTTTAAATCTTTAGTGGTTTTTGAAAGCGTAGGGTGAAAATTGAACTCTAGACCTTAATTGGGGCATAGGTGGTGCTACCACCACGATCCCAACTCCATTCTCAATCTTTGGTATTACTACCTCTCACTACGTTCATCTTTCCCCTAAAATTTCTCACCCACATAATCTTAATATTTATATATTAAATATAATTTATCCTTCTTGTTGTCCACGATTGCATTACTTGGTAGAATTCAAAAGAATAAAAAACATGCCAATAAACACAAAAAAAAGGACTCAGATTATATTGCTCTATTTTTTTTTGTAGCTGAGCTCTGATCTATTGGGTTGTCGCGAAACATCTCTAAAATCGCCAAATAAACACAAAAGAAAAAGGACTCAGATTTTATTACAAACCGTTTGAATAATCAGTTTGTAACTGAGCTCTATTTTTTTTGTAACTGAGCTCTAATCTATTGGGCAGTTGCAGAAAATTTGTAAAATCGCCAAATAAACACAAAAAAAAAAGGACTCAGATTTTATTACAAACTGTTTGAGTAATCAGTTTGTAAATGAGCTCTATTTTTTTTTGCAACTGAGCTCTGATCTATTGGGCTGTTGCAAAAATCTGTAAAATCGCCAAATAAACACAAAAGAAAGGACTCAGATTTTATAACAAACCGTTTGAATAATCAGTTTGTAACTGAGCTCTATTTTTTTTTGTAACTGAGCTCTGATCTATTGGGCTGTTGCGAAAAATCTGTAAAATCATAAATAAGAGGTATGCTATTCACTCTGATTTTATTAAATAAAACACATCAATACTATTCGCTGTGGTCAGGGAAGTCGGGGGCAAATACCTCGAGAAAGATGAAGAACACAGATCAGAACTCAATAGGAAGGATCAGAGCTCAAAGAAGAGATAGAGAGAGAAAGATGAAGAAAATCAGAGTCAATAGCATGCCTCAAGATCAATAAAATAAGACTTCTTTGCTTCAAGAGCTCAAGAGCAAACACAATAACACAGAGAGAATAAGAGCTCTTTGCTTCAAGAGCTCAAGAACACACACAGAGATAAATAATACAGAGAGAATAAGATTCAATAGCATACCTCAAGATCAATAGCAAGGATCAGAGCTCAATAACAGCTGAGTAAACCCTAGCGAAGGCTGTGAAGAGAGGAGTCTGCCTGAGATAGTGGCGTGCTACGAAGAGAGGGGTGGCTCAGCGGCTGAACACGAAGAACAGAAGAGAGGGGTCGTGCTGCGAAGAGAGGGGTGCTCAGCGGGAAGATTGGAACGAAGAGAAGAGAAGAGAAGAGAAGAAGAAAAACTAGGGCTCAGGTTGAAGTTCTAAAACGAAGTTCCAATTTTAAGTTACGACCTTTTGGTCCGAACTTTTTTTTACAAGATGAACAGTATCGTCAAGTTCCCTTCCAATTTCAGGAAGACACTTCTTATCTAACGAGCATGCAACCTTAAAAATGTAGAATTAAAGGTGCACCTCAAAATCTACATGTATGAAGATCTTGATATGGACATGTATGAATATTAAAAGGAAAAAGGATTTCGAGTATGCAAAATAGTGTATCGTGCGGATAGTACATTTTCAAGATTTTTATGTGTTTATAAATCTATTTAATTTTAATTATTTTTAAAATTCAAATATTTATAACCATGAATGAAAATAATTTCTCAAGTCATCTTGAGAATTTTTTACATCAAAGTTATATTTATAATAAAATTTAGAGATGTGCCATAATTGGATTGTCTAGGATTGCAACTTTATGCAAACGACACCCATAGAAAAATGCCTGGTGAATTTGTACTCCTGCAAAAGCATAATGTTCACTAACTCCCCTTGGATGACGGGATCGGCTCGGACTATTTCATTCTCACCAAAAGGTAGAGGCCCAAATCCCATTGGCTTGCTACTTTAGAAAAATAACTTTAGCTTAATTGGTTAGCACTAGACAATTTGCAATGCTACGTCCTAAGTTCAAATTTTACCAATGGTAGGGGCCTTCTCCCCATTGAATCACCCAAAAAAAAAAAAAAGGTCAGGGTCGAACCGAGCTCAAATATCTATCTTACAAAAATAATTGGTCGCATTTCTAGTAGGGTCAATAGATAAAAGTTATGGTTTGCACAATGTTGTAACCTTAAACAATCCAATTAAGCCCCACCACTAAATTTTATCATAAAAAAATTGATATAGAGTCATATCTAATTATATAATTTAAGCTCTATAAATGGTTAAAATCATGTAGATCTATAAACATATGAAAATTTTAAAAATGGACGGTCTAGATAATGTGTTGAAATGTACTAAATAAAGGACTCAAAATCTTTTTTCTTTACATATTCATACATCTAGGTGTCAAGATGATCAATTAGAGGGTTTTCCAACGTTCACACAACCTTTTATGATGGATTTTTAAAGTGATATTTAATTTTACATTTTAAGGTTGCAACCTTAGACTTTTCCATAGATAAATGACCTAGTTCACTTAAAGCTAGACTAACACTGTGAAGGGTCCTGCCTCAACGAGGCAAGGTGGTGGGTGTAGACTCACGTCTAGTCTAGAGGTGGGAATGGTGGGGTTACTGCATTGAGCCAGCTCAAGGATTACCTGGTTTGAGCTAATCCGATTCGCAACCTCCATCCACTGACCTGACCCAAGTATCACCCAGTCGAGCTATAACCCAATTCACACCCTCCATTTTGAGCCAAGCAAGTTGGTTTTTATGTCAATGTTATGGATTAGGAAAAGTATACAATGAGACTATTTACCTTTGGTACAAGGTCATCACAACTAATTTTGTCCATTTGGTGTGAAGGTGAATGGCTACATTTATTTTATTGGCCATATTCAAAGTTCAAAAGAAATTATCTCGAACTTTGCGGCACACCTAAGTTATTAGATTTTACATTGGATGGTTATAATAATTTATGACCTCATTATACCAAGGTAAATGGTTTGATTATATACAATCCTTATTGACTACTACTTTCACAAAAGCCAGCGCTCACATCTCTCTCTCACACACAAATAAGTGGTTTGATTCACAATGACAAAGGTAAGTGGTTTAATCCGGAATGATAAAGGGAGAAAAAAGGGAAATATTCAAATTATTGGGAGTAAATATTTTAGGTAAAGTGATAGACATCCCATTTCATCCAGCTTTTTAAATATACTTGCTTTCTCTTTCACACACACAAATATTGTATTGTGCACCCCGAATACTTTTTGAATAATAAGATTGTATGCTATAAGACCGTATACTAAAGTTACAAAAAGGTCAAAATCACTCATAACTATTAGGTGTCAAATTTGATGGCTTAGGATGTGTCACAAAATTCAATTTGTTATTTTTTTAAAGTTTTGAGTTTAGTAAATGACACTCATGACGATCCGATTTAAAATTTGATAATGACTATGACCTTCTTATATTAACAACAAATACTCTCTTTATATACTATTTTTTGAGTCGTACTCACCAATCCACTCAATAGTTAAAAAAAATAAACTTTTTTGAACAAAAATGCCCCTTTAAACCCAACTTTTTTTTGCACCTACTCCACTTTAAGTCATTTTAAATAAAGCAAGTTCTACACGGCTTATTGTTCTATTAAAGCCAATCCAACGCAATTTTTGTCGAAGTGGCTTCATTTAAGCAGTGAAGGGTTGGCTTTTTGCCTTTATTAAAGCTAGTCATGCACAATGTGTGTTGGATCCGCTTCAGTCCCTATTAAAATCGGTCTAACACACATTATGTTGAACACACCAGAGTTTTTTCTAGAGGGAGAAGGAGGGGCAAAAAACATGTGAATGGAGGGAGGCATTTGTGTTTTAAAAAATTATTTTTCTACTTGGAGGTGGGTACAAAAATAAATATTATAAGTTAATGTTGTGATTCCCAAATTTTAATAGAAAAAATTTAAACCCAATTATACGGAGAAAAAAAAAGAAAAAAAAACAAATTCACACCCTCATGCTCCCGCGGGAGTATATAATCTTTTGGCATTTGAATTTGACATCTTAGCGAGGGGTCTTCCCTCCATCCCTTTCTCTCTCTTCCCTTTTAACCTCTGTGGTTTTTGTTGATCAATTATTCTCTCTCTACAAGGTGCAGAAGCAATGCTTTCCCTCGCTTCTTGTAATGACTGTGAAACTTTTATGCTCTCGCTACAATCACATCCTTTCTATCTCTTCCACTAATTCAAAAACGCTAACGTTTAAGTTATGCAGAAGAATGGCCCATGTGGCACAAAGTATCATAGAACACAGTGATACCCATTTGGCCCAAAGTTACGTGGAACCACATGACTTGGAGCATGGGTATTCCGTGCTGCTTAAATCATGCTCTGAACCTTCTTTTCTAAAGCAAGGCAGGCAAATTCATGCTCAAATTCTCACTCAAGGGATGGGTTTCATGAATATCAAAGTTTTATGTATGTATGTTCTCACTAGAACCCTATTTGATGCCTTGAAATTGTTTCATAGCATAGATAGAAGGCACCCCATGCCATGGAATTGGATTATTAGGGGATTTATATTGACTAATAATTTTGAATTTGGTCTTTTATTCTACTTAAAAATGTTGGGTTTTGGAATTCAACCGGATAGTTACACTTTTACTTATGTTATCAAGGCCTGTTGTAGTTTATCAGCTATAAGTATTGGAAGATTGATTCATGAATCTATGGTCGCAATTGGGTTTGAATTGGATTTATTTGTGGGGAGTTCTTTGATGAAGTTATATGCTGAAAACGGTTGTATAGAAGGCGCAGTTCAAGTGTTTAATGAAATGAGGGAAAGAGACTGTGTATTATGGAATGTGATCATAACTGGTCATGCTAAGCATGGTGATGTTAATGGGGCGTTTAGGATATTTCAAAGGATGATGGGTTCGGATATAAAACCCAATTCAGTTACATTTTCTTGTGTTTTGTCAATGTGTGCCACTAGTTCGAATTTGGATCACGGGATTCAGCTTCATGGTCATGTGATTCGGTGTGGGTTTGAGTATCAAGTATCCATTTCAAATACATTATTGGCCATGTATTCCAAATGCCATTGTCTACTAGAATCACGACAGGTTTTCAAGGCCATGAATCAAAAGGACTTAGTGTCATATAATGGTATGATTGCTGGGTATGTTCAAAATGGGTATGCCGATGAGGCATTGAGTTTATTCTATGAGATGCAATCAGTCGGCTTGAAACCTGATTCGGTTACTTTTGCGAGCATTCTTCCTTCCTTTTCAGACCTGGCTGGTCTGATTGAAGGGAAGGCAGTGCATAGTTATATCATAAGGAATGGTGTGCATTTGGATGCATTTGTGAAGAGTGCACTGATTGATATATACTGCAAATGTAGGGATGCGTTGCTAGCTCGTAAGGTTTTTGATAGGACTGGTTATCTAGATGTGGTCATATGCAGTGCTATGATTTCAGGTTATGTACTTAATGGGATGAGTTATGATGCTTTGGAGATATTTCGGGGCTTGGAAAAATTTAGGCTCAAGCCCAATTCGGTGACTCTTTCAAGTATTTTACCTGCATGTTCAGCTTTAGCATCCTTAAGACTAGGTAAGCAGCTTCATAACTACATACTAAAAAATGGCTTTGAGGCCAGATGTTATATTGGAAGTGCATTGACTGATATGTACGCTAAATGTGGGAGAGTGGATCTCAGTTTTAGGGTTTTTGATAGATTGCCTGAAAGGGACTCTGTAGCATGGAATTCTATGATCACTAGTTGTGCTCAAAATGGGCAGCCCGAAGAGGCCCTAAAACTTATCCGAAGGATGAGTTTAGAAGGAGTTGGCTATGACTGTGTCACCATATCGGCTGGCCTCTCAGCATGTGCAGGCTTACCAGCCATGCTACATGGAAAGGAGATCCATGGCTTCATGATCAAAGGCTCATTTCGTTCTGATATCTTTGCCAAGAGTGCCCTTATTGACATGTATGCTAAGTGTGGTGCCTTAAGTCTTGCTCGATCTGTCTTTGATATAATGAGAGTGAAGAACGAGGTATCATGGAATAGCATGATAGCGGCTTATGGCATCCATGGCCATGTAAAGGAAGCTCTTCTTTTATTTCAGGAAATGGTGGACTCAGGCATTCTTCCTGATCAAATAACCTTCCTAGCTGTAATATCTTCGTGTGGCCATGCTGGCCTTGTGGAAGAAGGTCTCCAATACTTCAATAGCATGACCAAAGACTATGGTATTATGGCTCGAATGGAGCATTATTCATGCATGGTTGATCTACTTGGGAGAGCAGGCCACCTCAAAGAGGCAATGGGAGTCATAGAAAATATGCCATTTGAACCAGATGCTGGTATATGGGGTGCATTGCTTGGAGCTTGTCGGGTTCATGGCAATGTCGAGCTAGCTGAGCTTGCTTCAAAGCATTTGTTTGAGTTGGATCCTGGTAATTCTGGGTACTATGTGATACTGGCGAATATTCATGCAGAGGCTGGAAGATGGGAAAGTGTTTTAAGAGTGAGGAGTTTGATGAAAGAGAGAGGAGTTCAGAAATTGCCAGGTTGTAGCTGGATTGATTTGAACAGCACCACCCATATGTTTGTGGCAGCTGATGGATCTCACCCGGAGTGTGCTCAGATCTATCTAATCTCGAGGGTTCTTATTTTAGAACTGAAAGAAGCAGGCTATGTACCCAGACCAGAACTTTGTTGAGCATCTAAGCTTCATAGTGCAGGTCAGACTATATTTCTCAGTTAAGTAGCTTTTTTAGTGAGATTTAAATTATGATTCGATCCTGTGAGTTAGAAATCTTGCTCATAGACTCCCTTTTTCTGCAAGTTTATCCAGTCCTGATATTCTGAACCTTCCTTTTGAGTCCACCTCATATCATTTGCAACTGGTTCATATTTGGTGATATTGTGGATGTTGAATTTAATACTATATTTGGTTCACAAATTTATAGCGAATGCTCTGTTATTGCACAATAAATTGTCCATATGACCTTTGCATCTCAGCATATCTTTATGCACTTAATCCCAATGCAGGGTTCGAAGTAGGTTTCTCAAATAAGATGATCTCATTATTATGTTTTCATAAATTATCAACTGATTGTTTCTTTTAGAGGATCAATTTCCCTTTGGCAGCTTGCCCTTTCTATGGATCTTAAGATAAGGAGGTTGACTTTCTGCCTAGAGAAGATACCTGGAATTTGAAATTTACAGCAAGTTCTTCTCTTTTAGGTAGTGTGCACCTTGGAGGGTTTTTCATATCTCCTAGAAATCTTCTCTAAAACCTTATGGCGAAGTAGTGAAGAAATGTTCTACAGTTCACCAGAAAATGAGACAGAGGATTGACATTTGATGCTTTCGGGATAGCTGAGTGACTGCTGTAATTTTATCATATTCAGGTCTGGGAGAAGTTAAGCCAGCTTGACTTGGGTGGGCAAATCTACTTACTCAATTAGAGCTTAGCTCAAGCCAGGAGTAGCATGTGCTGACAGAAGCAATTTATCTTGCTACATGGACCCAGCCTGTGGACTCACAAGCTAGGTATGTATGGCTTTCTAGTTACCCAATTGGCCCAAAGTGGATTTAGAGTGATATTTAGTTGTTTTTCGTTTTTTCTTTACCATCCATGATTCTGACTTCAGCAAAACTAGGATGCAACTATAAATTTACTGGATTTCTATTCTAGTTCAGACCTTTATTTTGTACTGTTCAATAGTTAAGAAAATCTACCACATCATCCTTTAACACTGACTCCTCGTCAGTTTTTACAAAAATGCTAGTGCTGTAAGTTGGTCGTTATACTGGCATAAAGAGTAAATACAGCATATGTATATAGAAGACAATAATGTTCGAACTCAGGTTAACAATAGAATGACTGATACCCTAGTTGCTAGCATTATTAACTGAAATAGCTGGGCAAATAGAAAATTTCACAAAATTAAATAAGCAATAGGATATAAGATGCAAAGAGAGATTATGCTTCACTTGCCAAGGAGTGGGCAGAGGTTAACCACAGAGGCTATGCTACATGAATTGTCTGTGTAAGCTGGTTGAAGAGAATAAGCCCAACCTCAATTATGGTGTTCGGAGGTCTAAGATTACAACACATGCGATTCAACATTCACCTAAAGGCAAAATTCAAAGGGACAATATGTATAAGATTGTAGTAACTTATAAAAAATCAAGATTGTATGCTCATACATGGATAACAACCGAACATGATTTCATTTTGATGACCAAGAAAGCTGTATTATATCTATAAACTGCAAGTGGGTCTATATATTTCAAGGGAAGGTTCTTTGATGGTAACATAACCAATGGCAGATCTCAAATTTCGTTGATGGAAGTTGGAAGTCGTAGTTTGTTTTTCCTCTTTTGGTAAATAAGTTGGAAGCTGACTTATTTACTGTTTTCTGGTTGTGTTGAAGAAATTGAGAACAAAATTATTTCTGCATCATGTTGTTCATGAGATTATTTCTTAGTTATTAGATCGGTATTTTTAGACTTCCATTTCCAAGGGACTGTTTCTTATGCACATATAAATGTTCATGCACTACCTTATATTTGTTACTTATTTATTTAATTTACTTGAGGAGGGTGCAGTCTTGAAGAAATGGATCCATTTATAAGAGTAATCAATATTTGATGCTAATTGGCATCAGAATTTGGTGATATTAGAGAGAAATGAACCTAGAAAGCTTGCATGGACTTATCATTCATGTTGAGTTTGAGGGAGTTACTAAGAATGGCAATTGAACATTTATTCTTTTAAAAGGTGAATAAAGTCAACATTAATTTCCCAGTTCATTTATTGATGTGTCGGTGTTGTGTGGGTCTAGTCTTTTATTTTTTAGTTTTTTGAGAATTTTTTTTAGACTTTTGATTTCATAACGTCAGATTAACAGTGTTACCCTGGCGTCTATTTGGAAAACGGGGCCTGCATCTATTTGGAAAAAGGGCCAGAGTATATTCTTGCATGAGTCCCGGGAGTCCAATGCAAATGATATATTGCACTTGGGAACTCTTTCATGAGAGTACCCAGCTTTTATTATAGTTTTCTTAGGTTTATGTTATTTACTACTATTTTTTAGAACTGTTTATGTTGTTGATTGGTTCTATTTGTATATTTATCTTCTCTGTCTATCCTCTTTGTATTGCCTTTACAAATTTTTCTGTGTAGCTTGAATATTTGCTCTTCAAAATTAATGGTTGTGAGAATACGGTGATCTAAAACATAGGTTGATAATGCAGGCCAGGGCCTATGAGGTGTTGCCAGGAGTCACTCAACCAACAAGGCATAATCACTCACTCCAGGTAGGAGGAATCAATAAAGTCAGAGTAGGTGGACTTACTCAACTCCAAATGTAGCAGAAAATTACTTGCAATGAATAAAGTTTTTATTAAAAAACTAGTCACTACGATAATAGCCATCTTATAAGGCTTTTATACGCTCGAAACCTAAGTCTAAATGCTCCTAAATACCGTGTACCAACCTTTATTAGAAGACCAAAATCCACCTTGAAGCCCTCATAACATTGACTGCATGCAAAACTAACCTCTCACCAGTGCAACAGATATTCCAATGGGAAATGCATTAACTTTATGCAATGCAGGACTCTTATTTGCTACATACACTTGTCCAAGGCAAAATAAAGTCTCATGCACATGCATCACGCAAAAACCATTACGAAGGCAACAACTAAGGTAACTAGATGTCCACCTTGGGTGCTAACCAGAATGCTTACTAGGCGCTCCAATTCCCTCCTTCTTGACAAGAACTCGACCTCAAGGTGCTAGTCGAGTATTCTTTTGAGACCCAAGCATCCTCAAAACTTGGCTTCCCTTTCTATCAAACAAGGTATTGTGTATATGACCCACGAGTAGTAGTGATAGAGCACATGCCCAAAACATCAATAGTTTCTCGATGTGAAGGATTGGATAAGGTGGAGAAATTGGCTAATTCCAAAGGTGCTGGATCTAGGTAAACATGTTATGGCTAGAGATTACAAATGTTGAAGGTGGAGCTAATAGATAAGTTTGGTACTAACTCCAGGCAATAGGCACTGGCTTTAGTTTCTTAGAATGCGGCAAGAACCAAACTTTCTTTGCTTTAGCTTTTTATAGGTGCCGGTTGGGAATTTTTCGTGAAGATAGACCATAACAAGATCTCCTTCATGGTGCGTATACATATCAACATTTTCCTTATGTGTTGAGCAACATATTGTAAATTTTATTGGACCTGCTTGGAGTTTTTATTTGTTAATAACGGTGCCTCCATGAGCTTTGTTTTCAACAATTGGAAGCTCAGCAATGGGAAGCTCTTTTCAACTGCCTTAGTTCCATCAAATGTCTTTATTCTTAAATACATTAGTCATGAGTGCAACTGGCCAGCTGAAATATTCATAAACCACCGATAAAATGATTCCATCCCATGGAAACTACACACATCAGTGGTGCTCCTCAGGTAGGCCAATCGAGAATGTCTTGGACTTTTTCTTCATCCATTTGAATACCATGTGTAATTGTGACATAACCTTGAAACAAAATGCGGTCAGTCATGAAACAACACTCTTTTTGAGATGAATACCGGTTTGTTATTCTGAAGAACCTTGAATACACTGGTCACGTGCTCAAGACGTTATGATTCATCTTTGTTGTAAATTACGATATGATAAATCTACCTATGAACTCCCTCAAGACTTAGGTCATAAATCTCAAGAACGTGCTTGATGTGTCCAAATGGCATGACAAGCTACTCTGCCATTCATCACCCTGCTATATTTGTATTTGGTGGTAACTGCTTTACAAATCATTCTTAATAAACCCCTTTACACACATAAGCATATCTATCATGTCATCAGGGCTGGGACTTGGAAAACGGTGTTTCACCGTTATCTTGTTCACAACTCGCCTATTGATACACTTCTTCCATGTGTCATCCTTCTTTGGTGTAAGAAGAGTTGGGACCACAGAAAATCTGACTCTCTCAGGAGTCCTTCCTCATCAATTCTTCTACTTGCCTTTGGTGTTCTGTGTACTCCACATGCCTCATTTTGTAATTAGGAAGGGTGGCTCCCAGAATGAAATAAATATGGTGGTGGATATCTTGAAGCGGTTGCAAGTCATCCAGCAATTCTTCCGGAGTTAGGTTCTCAAACTCATCTACGAAGCTGGAAATGCTAGATTGAACTTACTTCTTACTGTTTTGAATCTTTTGATTCCCATCCACAACTATGAGGGCATAGAGAGTGCTCTCCTCCTTACAATACTGCTTAAAGGACTTAAAGGAGAGCAAATTGACCCCTCTGTAAATGTGCGCATGTTGGTAGTCATGTCTTTTAAGGGGCTGAGAAAAACGTTCGCTCCATCTTTCACAACGGGGTGAAGATTCCTTCTACTGTCACGATGAACACTTCTCTCAAACTGCCACTGTCTCCAAGTAAGAGGTGGCAAGCATCCTTTCGAAAGATGTCAAACCAAAATGGAAAGCTTGATCCTACATCTTTCCATGACCATGATCTCACCTCCCTTTTTAAACCATGAAACTTTAGCGTGGCATTCACTTTTGAGTTTCAGCATATGGACCATGGATTTTGACAACCATATTTTCACATCTCCTAAAATCTGTCATGACTACTCACTTTTCCCCATAGGATGTGCAATAGTTCTGGAAAATGTTGTGCTGAAGCCATTTGTGATCCTCTTGAATGAAGAACATGATCCAGATGACGAGGCTTGCGTCATCACGTTTGGGTCTCAATATACTTTCTACCTTTTTCAGATTGATCATATACGGGTTCTTTTTTCTTCCTACTCAATTCCTTTACCATGTACATTGGAAGTTCAACGTTCTTTTTTGGGCACTCATACACTCTGTGGCCTTTTTCACCTCACCAATAATAGGATGAGTTCAACCACATGGCAGGTTTTCCATGCTCCTTGATTCCGTCCCTGTCATTTGGGTTTGGACTATCAAAGGGTTGTGCAAGACCCCTGTCATATGGCCTTTCTGTCAAACCCTTGGAATGGTTGCCCTTATCACTCTTTTTAAATGTGCTTCATTTGGATTTCTCTTCCGTCTTAAGTGCCGTTTGATATGCCTCTTCAAGGGTCTGGAGAGAGTGCATCATGAGCTCTCCATGGATATTATTCCAGCGCATTTAATTATTGGGGCCTAACTGATCATCACTCATGCAGACTTAAGTGGTTAGCAACTCGTAAATTTACGTCTTATAATTGGCAACAAACTATTCAACTTGGCGCAATTGATGGAACTTTCGATTGGGGGTCTGAGAATAGCTTAATGGCAGGAACTTATAATCTAGTTTGAGTTTTATTTTGCTCATGTACTAATCATAGTGGCACCTCTTCTCTCTCGAGGTATTGTTGCCACCAAACAAGAGCGTACCTTTTGAATTTTGTGGAGACAAATCAAGACTTTAGTTCGTCTGAGAGATCTTTCCATTGGAAGAAGGTTTTTCAGTTGCTATCCAATCAAAATGTTCATCGGGGATTGAGGCCACCTTCAAAGTCCAGAACATTTACTAGGATGCTTTTGTCCTCACCTTCTAGAGTTCTGCCCAAGTGCTCCTAAGTCCAATGACTGTCCCATGGCTTGCTTCCTGTGGCTCATTCAGTAGGGCTGGAGTCATTGGACTTTACACCATCTGAACCAGTAAACATACTAATGGTGCTTCGGGAAGAGGTGCTTATTGCAAGAGTTTACTTAACATTTGTTAAAGCCCTTAGTTGGACCACCGAAGGTCCCTCTAGTTCAGCCCTAACATTTGTCTGTGGGTCTGTCTTTATGGAGGCATTGTAGGGGAGCAGCTTCAAAGGGGTGGAATTTTTTTGGGTTCAACTTGCTCTGATACCAACTTGATGCGGCGGGGTCCTGGTAAGTGTTGCTGGGAATCAATGAACCAGGAAGGTGAGGTGAAATAACTCACACCAAATAAAGTAATCTCTCAACTCCTAGTAGGAAAATTCAACTCCAAGTGCAACAACGAATTGAATGATGCAGAGCGTGGTTGGTACTCCCAGTCAGGGCCAAGGAGCTTTGTTGTTTCCTTGGAATACTTGTTGTATGATGCATGTGCATGAGACTTGATTTTGCTTTGGAAGAGTTATCATATCGTCCGATCCTTACCCCAACTATCTGGGGTCAGCTACATGAATCATGTTCTACCATTATGCTCTCTATTAAGGGCCATACCTCAGTCAGACAATAAGTCACAATGTTTTGTTTTGAAAGAGTGTGTGTGGGAAATACGAGTCTTGCATAGAGAATGTATACAAGTCGATGTACTTTGCATTGGAATATCTGCTGTAGGGTTGGTAGATTAGTTTTGCTTGTAGTCAATATCGAGAGTTTCAAGTTGGATTTTATTCTTTCAATGCATGTGGACTTGCTATAGGGTCTTCAAAAGCATCTAAACTTAGGTTTTGAGTTTATAAGAGTCTTGTAAGGTGACTGGAAATAGTAGTGATTAATTTTAGATGAAAAAATTTATTTGTTGCAAGCAATTCTCCTTTGTTTGAGTGATTCCATCTGTTGGGCCTGAGTGATTCCACTCCACCTAGTTGGTTGAGTGGTTCTCGGTAACACCTCACATTCCCGACCTGCATCAATTGAAGTTTGATGTTTTTGATTCTTTGTAAATTCTGATGTTTTCTATTATAAACTTGTAAGATTCTTGTTAAGGTCTGAGAGCTGTTAGGCCGGTTGAATTGGGCGAGAAGATTTACTGACATGATCAAACTGGGAGTGACATGTATGGATGTAAGCAAGTCATGTTGCCATATGGGACGTAGGAACTCAAAAGCTAGGTGTGTCATGTCTTTCTGATTGTCCAGTTATCCAATTGGCCCAAAAGGGATTTAAAGTGAATTAAATTGTTTTTTGTTATCATACAATAAATGATTGACTCTGACAAAATTGGGATGCTACAATAAGTTGACTGGATATTAAGTCTAGTTCAAAACCTTCATTTTTGTGTTGGTCACCAGGTATGAGAATCCACAACATCTATCCTTTGACACTGGCACATACCCCCTCGTTAGCAGTTACACAAGCACTAATGCTATGAGTTAGTTTCCGTATCAGCATAACAAGAAATATAGCATGAGGATGTAGTAGACACATAAATGATCTTTTATGGGTTTTGATAGATGAAGACACAATAATGTTTGAAAAAGGAGTAAGAATAGAATGGCAGATAGCTGGGTTGCATGCACTATTAACTGAATAAAGGGAATAAAGAGAACAGACTCACAAAACCAGACGAGCAACATGATATAAGATTCTATGATATTTGAATATGGAAGAGAGATGATGCTTCACTTGCCAAAGTGAGGACAGAAGCTTAACTGCTGGAGCTAAGCTGTATGAAAATTCTGTTTAAGTGGAATGAAGAGAATATAGACCCATCCACATTTTTAGTGTTAGGTGGTCTTAGGATTACACAACATGGGAGATCCATAGTTCCCAAAAAGGGAATTCATGGAGATAACATGTACATGATCGTAGGCTTTGACATATGTAACATTGCATAAGTTCGTTTTGATACCCAATAAAACTGCCTTACATCTACTGACTGCACGTTGGGGCCTGTGGAATCTCGAGGAAGGGTTCTCTGGTGGTACCACAACTGGTGGCAAATCTCAAATTTAGCCCACAATTGTTTGTAAGAAGGAACTTGGAAGTGATCTTTTGTTTTATATTTTTTCTTTTTCTTAAGTAAATTGGGAGTTGCTTAGTTTGCTGTGTTTTTCGGTTCTCATGAAGAAATTAAGACAAGAATTAGATGTGTTTTATATTCTTGTTATAAGATTATTTCTTGGCCAGTTCGCCTTCTTTATTCCTTTTACACATCCATTTCTGTGGCATAGTTTCTTATACACATGCATACATTTGTGCACCATGTCATATTTGTTTCATATCTATTTAATTTATTAAAGAGGCAGTGTTGAATTTTTATAAGGGTGATTGATATTTAATCTTATGTGGGATCAGAATTTGGTGATATTAGAGAGATATGGAACTAGAAGGCTTTCATGGGTTTATTATTTGTCTTGAGGTAGTCATCGAGAAATGAAATTTAAGCATTTTTTTCTAAGTTCATCTGTTGATGAGTTTGCGTTGTGAGTGGGTTTAAGCTTTTAGCTTCACATTATTCAGATTTAGAATGTAACCCTAGTCATCTGTTTGTATAATGGAGCAGTCTAGGGAGTACAAAATGTTCCTTATATTGCTCCTGGGAACTCCTCTTTCCTACGAGTACCCCCTACTAAGCCTTCTGCTGATCGTCTTCTTTGGTTTGTGTTATCTAGTGGTTCTGTTTGTACATTTATCACCTCTACTTTGTTCCTATTTGAAGTGCCTTTACAATTATCTCTTTGTAGCTTGCTCGTCAAGATTGATAGATTGTGAGAGTCCCTTGATGTACAACATTAAATGTGCTTCATTAATTGTTATATCATATATCTTACTTTTTATGCAAATGGTTGGCAGGACGCTATATTAGATGCAAAAATTCAGCGGTATGGTCCTATATGAAATAAATAGCAACAAGCGTCATTCTTCCTTAATGCACAACATTTTTTCTATGTTTTTGAATCCACTGATTCATAGATGGATATACAGAATATTAGAAGTTGGATCGATTTGGGATGACTGTAGTGAAGGTCGGCATTATGGTAATCATGTTTCTTTGATGAATCATTTGAAGAGTCTAGAAAGAAAGGAACATTGTATTTCAGAGAAGGCTCATGGAACAGGGACACTGACAGAAATCATCAAGAGGTTGATGATAGAAAAGGCCAAGGGTGTATCAATTAGAAAAGGAAGAACAGGGATGTTTGGTATTAAAACAGTAGAGTTTTGGAACATTGGATTGGGGTCCTTCATTATTTCCCATCCAAAGTAAGGCCAAAATGAAATATTAAATTTCTTCGTACTGAGTTGAAATCAGAATCATGAGTGGTGTTTGAGGGGCCAGGTATACTAGCAAGTCTCCAATATTTATCAATCATGAGGAACTTCCCTTTCCTATTGAAATTTCAATATATATATATTTTAAATTCCGTTCTTATGATCAAATATGTTTGACAATTTTCATGTCCTCAAGAATCTTGTAAAACTGTAGGATTTGATGATGGGTCGTCCAAGCCTGGTATGCTTGTGCATGCTTCTATGCCATGTATCATCCCCATATGTTGCATAATTCATCCAGACAAGAACCTACCAGTTAGATCTCCAATCCTTTACTATAATGGAACTTAGTATATTAATAATGAGCATGGTTATTTGTGATGGCCGCAATTTTTTACAATATTTAGTAAAGTTGAACCTCAAAACCCTATTGGAAATGCAATTCTAGTGCCGGAAACCCTTGTGATGGCCGCAAATCAATTTCCACCTCCCTCTTTTGTATTTGAAGCTCCAAAAAGGTGCAAATCTGGTAGATCTCTAAATATTTGAAATGGGCAGTCCAGAACAAGTTAAGACCATTTTGCCAATTGGAAATCTTTTTTTATTTACTTAACAAATCCATGATTGTAGAGATCGAGATGATGGATTTGTTGGTTTCCCACACCAAAACTGCATTTTATAGCATGATTCGAAGTGCAACTTCGTAAAGCCATGGCCTCATGGATCATTTTCCCCTTAGTTCTAAATGACATGCCCAAAAAGATCAAGATGTCAGCCAATTCTCTACTTATTGCAAATTAGATAACTTCTCCATACCCTCCAAAAAAAGAAGGGCTGCTAATATTAATAGTCTTGAGAGTAGCATGCAGTCACCAGAAACATGAGAGACCCTGTTAAATAATAATTTCTAGATGGAACTCCAAAAGATTTACTATTCTAAATTATATATTTTCACATGACTATCTGCTTAGGACGCGGTTAGCATATGGCCAAGCTCGCATATGTAGAAATGCGGGCCCCTTAATAAATTTATTTTTGAAATAGAATTTGATCCTAATTTTTAGAGCATATAGTTTAACATGGAGATCATGAGTATGAGAAAATAAATAAATTTTGAAAACTTGAAATAATAATTCTATTAAAAAAACATTTGGACCGTTAGTTTCAAATGTTTTTAAATGGACCACCAATTTGCATTGATCTGATGGATGCTTTATACCTTTGGACCACATATTGTACAAACGCGGTCTAGCCTGCATGAAAATATTGTTCATCTGTTTATATTGGTTGATGCTCCATGTAAACACTATTACAAAGATGCTCCATGCTGAAAGATGTCCTTTTCAATGCCAAAAATCTATTTTCATCCCTAAATGAAATTTAATGCTTCAAAAATAGTATAGATGAAGTAGATTTATGAACACTTAAAAATCTTGAAAATGGACGTTGTAGTTAATGCATTACAATATGCATAAATTCTAGGACCTAATTTTTTTTTTTTTTTCACATCCATAAATCTCGAGGTTGAAATGATCAATAAGAGGGTTTTTCAGCATCCAAACAACCTTTTCCAATTTTTTTAGGTGCACCTTACTTGTATATTTAAAGGGAAACACCTTATAAAAACCTTTACCTTGAAAATGCTAAGTACTTCAAATTTAAAGTAGGTAAAATGTCACACATTCCCACCGTAGTTGGTATTAGACTTCAATGTACACACTGCCTCTCACATTCTCACAGAGAGAGAGAGAGAGAGAGAGAGAGAGAGAGAGAGAGAGAGAGAGAGAGAGAGAGAGAGAGAGAGAGAGAGAGAGAGAGAGAGAGAGAGAGAGAGAGAGAGAGAGAGAGAGAGAGAGAGAGAGTAGAGAGAGAGAGAGAGAGAGAGAGAGAG